GCCCCACGTCTGAAAGGGCGAGCATGTTTGGTGGGACTGGGATTCGAACCCGCGACCTTCTGATTGCGAGTCGAGCGCCCTAACCACCTGGCCAGGAGCAGATGAGATTCCACCGGTAATTATTGGTTAAGGCTTGAGACCTAGTGAATCCAAGATTCCCCAAAACTGAATCCTTTGTATTAACTTGTCCCCCAGTGGGTCAGCAATAAGTTTACGACCTTATGATACTAAAACCCGAGGTTCGATTCCCCGCGGTAGACAGAGCGTAGTTACCCCCATTGTGTGGCTTTTCATTTATGAAAAAGAAAGAGACGTCGTAATAAATCCCATTTAGTTAAGTTGGATAAAGTTATCAGTTGTACAGCGAAAATTGTTAAAAGTTGATATATAGTTTTCTTTTCTATGGATCCCCTGGACTTTTATATTTTCTGTCCTCAGTGGACCATATAGTAGTGTAACGGCGTATCCTTAAAGTATTCAGTAATCTCATTTATTCTCTCGCGTTCAAAAGCGTGGTTCCCACCCCACCCCCCACCCAGTGGCTCAGCGGCAAATCTGAAGGCTTATAACTCTAAGAATCGGATTTCAATACCTGTGGTTAGCAAAACACCAATAGCCCATTGTCGAGATTTTTGGTGATCGCGGCTTTCGAATATAAGCTGTTTCAACCGCATATTCAGTTTTTTAGGTGTTTTTTGTCCCTCAGTGGGACAACGGTAAATCTACAGACTTCAACAATAGAATCCGGGGGTTCGATTCCCCGCAAGGGACACGGCAGATAGCCCAATGTGACCTTTCTCTAAAAACAGATTTTATAGGACTTTTTTTGAGGAAATGGGAAGCTTTTACATAATTTTTGGTCAATGTTGATAATTTCGAACATCTGGAAAACACAATATATATATGAAACGAAAGATGAGATAATCTATGTTTTGTAACGATTGTTTGATTGTCACATCAAGGAATCACTTTTTGTCTGAAGACATCTTGTGAAATAGTTAAAACTTAACCTAGAACTTATCACTTATATTAGAATAACCAGTTTTAGGTGGATTAAACAAACACCCAGTTTCATGTCTTAAACACAAAATTTATTTCTAAACTGCTTATCTGAAACACGCCTCTACAAGTTTTGTTGCCAAAAAACCACTTGTGATTCTTGAGTCACACACGTTAATATTTACTTGGTAAAATTAGGTGTGATTATTAATTGTTGTTATACCCCCCCCCCCCACACACACACACCATCAAATATAACTTTATATTTATTTTTTTCGTAAAAAACACGTTCTTTCATGCTGCTTAGTTTCTACATCTTTTGGTTGTATAGATTTTAATAAATAACATATCATCAGACAACCAGATGAGGGTTGTAGCTCTCGCTAATGGCAGTTGACGTCATCACAGCTCGTTTGATCGTAGTAAATGCTACCCAATCCTAATGTTTCAGGCTTGATCGTATTGGATGCTACCCAATCCTAATGTTTTTCAGGTTTGATCATATTAGATGCTACCCAAACCGAATGTTTTCATGTTTGATTGTATTGGATGCTACCCAATCCTAACGTTTTCAGGTTTGATCATATTGGATGCTACCCAGTCCTAATGTTTTTCAGGTTTGATCATATTAGATGCTATCCAATCTTAATGTTTCAGTTAAACCTGTCTTACCTTCAGGGATAGATCTTTTATTTCCTACTATTTACCTAGCTCTAAAAATATCTTTTCTACAGTAAATAACATTGATATTAATTACAATTCATTTACATAATCTGCTTCACACCATAACAACTGCCGTTCGTGAAAATCGATGTTATTTATCGATGAAATCACTACTATATCTGTCGTATCCCGACCGACCTGAAGAGCCCTGGTATTAGGCAAAAGGCCTCGTCGGCACTGCGTATGTCAGGTATAAGTGTGCTTGGGATATCATTACATTCTCATTTGCTTTAACTCATAAGTTATTTGAATTTATCTAGCTAGAATTATGGAAACAAACCTATCCAATATTTTCCTCCCAGTTTTGTTCGTGAGATAATCAAAACCATTATTAGTTAGTAGTCCGTATGCATGTCCACCTCTTGACCGATAGCCACCAAATCTGGTATAAACCGTTAGAATAACCAGGGGAGTGATATAACGAGTCTAACCTCCCCCCCCCCATGTCTTCCCTGTGCATTGATGAGGTACATCGGGTAGTAACAATTGTGCTGAGTTTGATACACAAAATAAATCCGTTTATAATCTTGTAATACGTAAACCACATCTCACCGTATGTATATAATTAAATGGAAAACAAGGAAGACGAAAACACATTTAACACTTTTTAACTGACAACCACTGTAACGTGTTTTAGAATTTTTATCAATATATCTCAAACTCGTTAAATTGAATAATATTTAAAGTTAAATCAAGTAGTTGAAACTATCTATTACCTTTAGCCTTGTGATTAGATATCTACACTTGGTCTGTTTTGTCTGTAAATAAAATCTTGACGTCGTTTAAAATTTTAAAGGCTAATCGCTTTCTTTCACTGAAACTTCACTTTTTTGAAGGGAATGTTCTAGAAACAAAATGGGAATTAAAGTTACCATTTAAATAAAACTGAAGGTAAGTCTACAGACTTACAAAGCTAAAATCCGAGGTTCGATTCCCCGTGTTGGACACAGCAGATAACCCAATGTGGCTTTGCTCTAAATATCAACCAACCAATCAAAACTAAAGGTTCAAATTAAACTTCTCCCTACATCTAGTCGTGATATAAATCCCATAATTCACGACTGAGATTAGGATTGTAATAAAATATCTTGATTCAAGTGCTTGTGAAGTTTATACAGGGCTTCTTGGGTCCTGTCACTTGATCATCGAATCATCTTTATATACAGTTGAAATGTCATATAGAAAAAGGATTCACTAATTACACTGTTACATTCTTACCTTTCATCCCAAACATTACACTGTTACATTTTTACTTTTCAGCCCAAACATTACACTGTTATATTCGTACCTTTCAGCCCAAACATTACACTGTTACATTCTTACCTTTCAGCCCAAACATTACACTGTTACATTCTTACCTTTCAGCCCAAACATTACACTGTTACATTCGTACCTTTCAGCCCAAACATTACACTGTTACATCTTACCTTTCAGCCCAAACATTACACTGTTACATTCTTACCTTTCAGCCCAAACTTGTAAATGAAACTGTCGAGTTTTGAAGATCGAGATCCCGGTAACCAATCAACACACGAGGATATATTAGTAGTCTTAAACTTGGGATTTTACACTCTGCTTCCAAAAATAAAAAAACACCAGCCCAGCCACGGTTTAGCAGGATACCATAAAGCTTACAACCACTCACTCTGTGCAGTGTAAGTCGACAGATAAACACACGGCGGGTTCTATCGAACATAAAAGCCAAGCTCCCTTTGTCACGTGAGCGTGTTGGGAAGTCTCACGGAGTAGAGCGCAGGGAGAGGGCGTAAAACGCACGAAGGAGAACTCCGAGCACTTTGATTCTTACATTTACCCGATTGTTTGGCATCATCGGGCTAAGTCACGTGGCATGTAAGGAAAATAGTGGCCTCCAAGGAGAGCAGCTTGGACCGGTTGGTGCGTTGTTACTGGCGAGAAAACGTGCTTTTGGTGAATATAATTTAAAAAAAGAGAGAGAGAGGAGGGGGGAAAAAGAAGAATTCGTGTGAGCACAGTTTAAAAAGACATAACATCAAGGTTGTGCGATAAAGTAATTTGATGGTTTAGTGGGAGCAAAATCCGACTAACTAGGAATCGACCAGGTGCAATTTCATCTTAAGATGTCAGTCTTCGGTACCACATGGTGTTGTTGATTGTTATATTCAGATCATGACGTGTTTACTAATGTATATATATATATCATACTTTGAAATTAAAAGTGTCTTTCATTTTTATAATTACGTAGAATTCTTATATTTGAAATTTCATTTTGTTCTCTTGATACAGAGCCCCCTCCTCACCCCCCCTCCAGTGGCTTGACGGTGGTAAGTCCGAAGGCCTCTAATGCTAAAAACCTAGCTTCGATACCCGTGGTGGACACAGCACAGATATCTCATTGTTTAGAAGCAGAGAAGCAAATGGAGTTTTAGATATAAATTGTCATTGGCTGGGCGAGCTGGAAATGAATAATCGGATTGGTTAAAAATTATCCCGGAACTTTTTAAAATCGAAATGAAGAATTATTCTAAAAGAAAAGAAAGACTCAAAAAGTACGTTATGTTCATTGTAATACATTCAGGTACATAACACGTAAACTCAGAAGTTGACAAGTCGTAAAGTATAAACGTTTATACGTTATATTTATTGTAATACATTCAGGTACATAACACGTAAAGTCGTAAAGTATAAACGTTTGAACAACAACGAAGATTATGAGTGACGTCACCTAGCTATCCTGAGTTTTATACTTACAAATAACTTTTCTGCAGCTACTCACACCAAATGGACTGTAATTCAAAGACTACCAAATCACTCAACTTACAAGTTAACATGCTAATCATAGTCATCCGTAATAAGCAAAAACATTTATTCCGCCTGATAAATGGATTTGAAATCCAAATATGCCAGCATGATAGATCTGAGAAATCCTTCGTAGGAATAACATTATTGTAAATATAAACATTAATGTTATGCGGTTATGTGGTAGGTTTGGGCGGGCAACATCTGTGGACTTCTGGCAGGCCCAATGATGGTCATAGTCGGTGTCTATAAAAACTGATACCTTGGTCAAAGCTTGAACACCCACAAAAAATAAAAAATTACTCTGATGAACGTCCGACTGATTTGTGTACTGATTACAGATTCACTTAAATCAGATACAGAACATCAGGGTTAATTAGCCAGTTAATTACTGATATCATCATAGCCCGCTATGGAGCGTATTATTCCGGTCAGCCTTCACCATTGTCTCATTAACGTAGTTAGGTCGATATCGGCTAACGACGACTTTACGTGGGTAAAACGTCTAGTTAAAATACGAAACAAGCAGGCCCAGTCTTTCGGGCTAGGAAATTAGTTTCATAACTAATAGTTAGACACCCCCCACCCAAATAAAAAAACAGCTTAAACTGACCTTAGGTCGATTTACTACCAGTAATTCTTCTATAGGCTCATACTTTCAAGTGTTATTAATTTTGTTATATTTGATAACTTACGCATGTTATTGAAGGGAATTTTATACTCTTGTACAGAGTTATTCACATGTAAAGAAGAGGTTATTATAATATTTTAACAGGTTACAAAGCTGTGGCAAAAGACAACGTAAAAAAATGGATTCTTCAATTTAAGATATAATTAGCACGTTAAAATTTTCTACACAAATTAAGATATGTAATGATATGAGCAAAAAACTGTGGTTCTTGTTCTAACAATTACAAACAAATAAATGGACACAATAGAATGTCCGTGTCATTGCATGCAAATAAAATCCTAGTTATAAATACAGGATAGCACCGTAAAGACCACAGAATACAAACAGCTGTGCCACGAACGGAAGGAATTAACCAGAAGGAACAGGGTAACTGAGTAGTTCTAGTCACGTCAGTTCTGTATGACCTTGGCGCCCAAAACAAACAGAAATAATTCTCCTTTCTGCGAGAAGAAATGTAGAAAATGAAAAAAAAAAAGGCCAAATGACCACTACTGTTGCAGGACAGGTGCAAGTGTGTCCCAATCTCGTTAGAAGTTATTTTCAAAATGTGGACTACAATGGTATGGTAATTGGACGAAAGACATTCCTCACTATCATATAGGCAATGTCGACAGCAATGAGTATCCCATACGATATTACACCATCTTGTCCTTTCTAAGAACTCCAGGTTTGTATAATTCTTGGAGAAGGAACATATCTGAGATTAGCCTCTCGGGAACTTTCGATTAACCGTATTCAAGCTACGGCATAATACGGCCGTATTTCTATTACTTATGAGGCTATTTAGATAACTGTGATGTGCGAGAACGGATACCACTGCCCGAGACATCACAGTTTTAGGGCAAGGTCCTCGAATTCTCTACACCACTGTGATCAGTTTACTAGACAACGTAGAGTTTTCATGATGGTGGAACTCCTGATGATTCAGTCCAAATCACAAAATAAGACGTTGGCTTGAAGGTCAATCACCAGATGTGAACCATATCGAGATATCTGTTTCCATTCTTGATCGTTCCAAACAACCAGCTTCTGAGGACGACCTCAACCAAGTTCTGCACGTTTCATTCTTGATCGTTCTGTGCAAAAAATGGTTCCAAACAACCAGCTTCTGGGGACGACCTTAACCAAGTTCTGCACGTTTCATTCTTGATCGTTCTGTGCAAAAAATAGTTCCAAACAACCAGCTTCTGGGGATGACCTTAACCAAGTTCTGCACGTTCCATTCTTGATCGTTCCATGCAAAAAAAAAACCAAAAGAAAAAAAAAAGTCACAAATGTCAAATTTTTGTGTACACCCTTATTATCCACGTTCTGCATGTTACATACTTGACCGTTACGTACAAAAATACGCTTCAAACAACCAACTTCTTGGGACACTCTCATCAAGTTCTTCACCATGTGTTGGATGCAATCCTCCAGCTCCTTATATCGGATGCTGTAAATATGAGGTGTGCCATATTTCTGCCATAAATATTCAAAGGACAGATACCCTAAATATCAATGGTAATCTCGTAACTTTCATATTTGTTTATTATACTTTGTGAAGTAGCTAGCTATCTATTTACTTATTAGTGGTAGTGTGTAAACCACAGTTACAATAATATTTATGGAAGAACTGAGAAAATAAGTGCAAAATGTCCTCTTCTAATGTCAATGGTATTTTAACATTATCTTTTGATATAAATAAGATATACGATCTCATCTGTCGGGAATAAGGCTTAGTTGCTATGATTTAATTAGACTAAAATCAAATGATAATAGTGTCTTATGCTGATGCGTTTATCCACTGTCTTTCTGTCTTGGTGTATTTAATTCACAAACAACAACGTCTTGCTACTGTTTAGAAGTGGCTACAACTTCGTAACGTTGTAACAAATAAACAGAACAATAGTCATAAGAATACCCACTGTCTTGGTGTATTTAATTCACAAACAACAACGTCTTGCTACTGTTTAGAAGTGGCTACAACTTCGTAACGTTGTAACAAATAAACAGAACAATAGTCATAAGAATACCCACAGTCTTGGTGTATTTAATTCGCAAACAACAACGTCTTGCTACTGTTTAGAAGTGGCTACAACTTCGTAATGTTGTAACAAATAAACAGAACAATAGTCATAAGAATACACACTGTCTTGGTGTATTTAATTCACAAACAACAACGTCTTGCTATTGTTTAGAAGTGGCTACAACTTCGTAACGTTGTAACAAATAAACAGAACAATAGTCATAAGAATACCCACTGTCCTGGTGTATTTAATTCACAAACAACCAAATAATAACTGAATCGATAAATTGTTTCAGACAGCAAAGGCAAGCGAAACTTTGCACAACAAATGCTTTTCGTATTTGATTTCCATAAAATCTCTCGGCATTATATTCTACATCAAATTATATACAAGCTCTTCTAAAGGAAGAAACACTATTTTTCTGGATGGGTATTCTAAATTTTTTAGCCTTTTTTTAGATGAGAACTGGTACTAAAGTCTGTGTGTTATCAATGTAAATCTGTAAAACAAAATTTACAGTCTTTATATATTTGAAAATAAAAGCCAAATGTTTTTTTATTGGCTATGAGTGTGTAAGATTATATATTATTTCCAATGATTGACTAGACATTTTGATTTTAAAACATGTAACGTCTGCATTGTAAAGATTGTATGGTTCAATAGCTATATAAGAACGGCCACAGCAATCCACAAAGCCATCTATCTGATATTAGGCTTCGCTGTCGTGCATATTTTGGTACCAATGGATTACCATGACTCCCTCGTGATCCATATATCACGATTATAAACATGAAATTGTGGTACTCGATTACTCAATCTCGAAACAAAATTCTCAAGTAGCGGAATGTATAATGATTCACTGCTGACACATGTTAAATCTTTACACGTGTATATTACAGTAAAAATATTTTCGCCGTCTCTAATTTACACCGAAAGAATTTTTATAAACGACATAGGACAGTGTCAGTTTTACTTAACGTGTTGTTCATCCAAAGTTACGAATAGAACTAGGTATCAGACGCTATGAAGTGTGTTGAGAGATTTTTTTTTTCAACCATGAATTTGAGTTGATATTCATTGTGATCTAAAATAGAGCGGATCATATTTGTGATCTAAAATAAAGCGGATCAAATTTGTGATCTAAAATTGAGCGGATCAAATTTGTGATCTAAAATTGAGCGGATCATATTTGTGATCTAAAATAGAGCGGATCATATTTGTGATCTAAAATAGAGCGGATCAAATTTGTGATCTAAAATAGAGCGGATCATATTTGTGATCTAAAATAGAGCGGATCATAT